AAAATTTATTTTATCTTCTTGGCAGGGAGAGAGAGAATAGGGGAAAGGGAAAGAGAGAAGGGAAAAGAAGGGGAAGAAAGCATGGAGATGACGCAGCACCCTAAAGAAAGAGAAGGGAGATGCCAGCCACTTGCTAAATAGTGTTATGTCTTGTGTTAATTATACATTAATTATTGCCTTTCATCTCAAAATTCACACTTTGTTGCCTGATCTGTGAAATGGAACTGGGTCCTTGAAATATTCTTTTTGATAGCCGACATGGTGTTAAGCTTTGTCAGGAGTGGGCCATGAATGGTCATTATTAAAGGAAGAGATTGTTCTTCCTAATTCCTATATGCTCACTTGACGGCGTCTTGTAGTGTGGGCTGACTCTCTGTTGCCCAATCTGTGCAACTCATGGTGGCGCTACCTGCCATCTCCTCAGGCAGTTTTGTAGAGAAGTGCCTTTAGTAAGACACTCTCGACAGACAGTGTTTTCTGTCCTAAAGGACTGATTTCAAGTAAGTTCCTCAGTCCAGCCATGGGCGTAGTGGCTGTCCTTTATATCTTCTACTCCTAAATTATTTAGCATTCCCTTAACTTTTGTTAGCCACTGTCTCGTTACTCTAATCCCCTGTTATAGGTGCCAAAACTTCATATTAAACTTTCCTTATTAAAATTACTGTGTGGAGAAAGACCCCTGAGAAGCTTGGAGACCAGCAACAAGGTCTACTGGTGGGTTCCTAAGTGGTTGGAGAGACCTGTCAACATCAGCTCAGAGACAGCTGCTGCCAGTGATCAGTGAGCCTCTTCCTCTTGCGGAAAGGGCACCAGGCTCCCAGCTCCCTCAGAGCACCTCTCCACACACAGACCCAAGTCCATTGGCAGACGCCATAGTGTTTCATACTCCCCTTCCCCTTCCATACCTGTGGCTGCTGAGAGAGACAATTTAGCCACTACCCAGAGGAATCTGTAAGGAATGGAACCTTTCCTTTTGGGGCCCTAAAGCAGATTGAGGGGCACTCAGACTGTGGGCTCTCTATCTGCCAGCCCTCCCAGCTGCTGCTTGCCTGGTGACCCCAGAAGAGCTGGACAAATCTTGGGGTTGAGAGACATTGATCCAGCTTGGGAACCCTGTGAGTGACTTGAGACCAGCACTCTTCTCCTTGGCAATCCTGTACACCCCAGTCTCAATTGCATTGCCAGGGGAACAGAAGGGATATTTGTGAACCAGTGTACTGAGGTGTATGTGCCTTCAGAGGCAGAGCAGCGTGCTTGAGGGGCAACCCTCCTCCCACGGGAGGGCCATGTGCCCAGCTTAGACTGTGATCCTGGGCAGGGAACCTGCCGGCTCTCATCACAGTCAGGGGAGATCCACTGGCTTGAGGTTCTGCCTGCTGGCAAAGGCTGGGGAAAAACCTCAGAATAGGAGAGAGTGGAAAGGAGTGAGGGCTGCTCCAGACTGCAGGTCTCAGACAGCCCCAGCCCCACATGCAGACTTTTAGGCTGAGTAGGGCCATCTCAGCCCCTCCCTGGTAGCTTTTCCCAGAAGCAGAAAACAGAGCTTTGACCCCTGCTAACAGCATTTGTAGAGCTTGAGGGCAGGCTTACCCAACCTAGCTCCATCCAGCCTCACTCCCCTACCTGCCCACACTGAGGCGGAGAATAAGGACACACCTACAAGTCCCAGGGCGCCACCCACCACCTAAGGCACTAGAGTGCCTCTCCAGAGGAACAAGAGCTGGTTACAGGACCCAAAAACAACACTGCAGCTTGCTCCTCCCAGCACCACCACCTAGTGACAGGGAAGTCAATTTGTATACCCTTTTACTGCCATTTACTGACTCATCATACACGGTATGGTCAAATCTCACCAACAAACACCACCTACTGGCTCAGAGACTAATCAGGGCATGTCATTATTCAAACAAAAATCTAAAGATAAGAAGGAACAGCTGATCCATATGGGAAGGAATCAGCAAAAGAACTCTGGAAGTGTGAAAAATCAAATGGAAATCACACCCCTAAAGGGGAACACCAGCTCTCTAGCAATGGACATCAACCAAATTCAGAATACTAATATGACAGAAGATTTTCAAGCATGGATCGTAAGAAAACTCAATGATATGCAAGAGAAAATGAATAATCAACACAAAGAAACAAAAAAAAATAAAAAATCCAGGACTTGGAAGAATAATTTACTAAAGAAATTGAAATATTAAAAAGAAAAATCAAATAGAACTGGAAATAAAGAATCTATTCAAGGAATTACAAAACACAATGGAAAGCCTCAAGAACAGGGTAGATCAAACAGAAGAAAGAATCACAGGGATTGAAGATAACACCTTTCAATTAAATAAGTCAGTCACAGAGTCAAAGCGGAGAAATAAGAGAAAATAGCAAAATCTACAAGAAATGTGAGATTATGTGAAGAGGCCTCCCATGAGAATTGTAGGTCTCCCTGAGGGTGAAGAAGAAAATATACAAGGATAGGATAAGCTATTTGAGGGTATAATAGAGGAAAATTTCCCAGACCTTGCTAAAAGTCTAGATACCCAGGTACAAGAAGCTCAAAGGACTCCTGGTAGATTCATTGCAAACAGGAAGACACCACAACACACAGTCATCATACCGACCAAAATAACCACCAAAGAGGCCCTCCTACAAGCTGTAAGGCAAAAGAGGCAGGTAACCTACAAAGGAAAACTCATCAGAATGATGGCATACTTCTCAACTGAGATCTTACAAACAAAAAGAGACTGGGGTCCCATTCTCACTCTACTATTTCTGGTATTGATTGGGTCTGTTTCACGGGCCATACTTCTGCTACACAGGTCTACTGTGGCTCCAGCTTTTCCTGGATGACCCCAGCCACTGGCCTCTACTGAAATAACCTCCTCTTTTTGTCCATATAGCTTCAGGATGCTAGTGACTTCCTATTGATACTAATCTCCAGATTTTTCTTTCTTCCTGCTTTTTACTTCTTCCATAATCTGTGTAATGAATATTTTGTATTTAATTATCTCTACTTTACATACTTAAAATAGTTTTGTCTTCCTGATTGACACACACACACACACACACATACACACACATACACACTTCTGCAGCCAGTAAAAACAAACAAACAAAAAATGCTATACCATATGCTACATGCAAAAATCTTCCTGATAAGTAATTGAATCCAAAAGGAAAAGTTGCTATAAATTTTGTTTGATATGGTCCATTGCAAAAAACCAAACCATTTATGTATATATAAATGTATTTGTATGATAATAATAACAACTACCCTTTGTAGGAAAAAGCAGGTATGGCCAAATATCCACCAAGAGAAGAGGCTATCCCTGTGAAGTTGAATTGAGGGATATGTGAGTATTAATATATATTCAAGAGAAGGGACACTGTCACTTTTTACTGTATATACACCTATGTTGCTTAAAATTTTTCCTCTTGTCATGCATCATCTTCATTATTTCAAAAAAGTTTTTGGAAGCAGGTAATAAAACACTATGCTTAATATGATCATTTTATACCTAGGTATTTATTTGTAATAGAAATTGTCTGAAAGTACAATTTTGCCATAACTGGCTTCGAAATGAAAATTTGATCTAATGTGATTAATGTACTAGAAAATAGTTTAACTATAACACCTTTGCTTATGTCAATGTCAAACAGCAGCTGAACTTCAAAACTGCAACCCACTGAACTAGAAAAACTGAAAGGCTTAGGAATACATAAAATGAAGACAACAACAACAACAATAACATATCCCTTATACCAGCATCCTCATGTGTTGTGAGCTGTGGCATTCATATATGATGTTACAACTTTTTGTCTGATTTCAGAGAACCCTTCTTCCAACACACCATAATAATGTAAAATCTGCAAATCTTCCCATTCATACTTTTGCAAACAAGTTTCAGGTCTTTTTCGAAGTAAAATGCCATATTTACTTTAGTATGTAGTTTTAACCATGTAACATGTATGATAGTGTTTTATTATTAGGCTCTGATTTTTTTTCCATGTCAGTCATTATGAAATTTTTGAGTATTTTACTCTAATCCCATTTTTCTTATAAGTTCTGTGGTTTTTATTGCACAATTTTGCATAGTATAGTGATTTTTAGTAACGTGTATATCACAGTATACCAGAACTGACTATACATATACTAAAATATTAATAGCATTTCTAGGAAGTAATTTATTGGTTTTTTATAGTTTCCATTTCTTATAAAACAATCATATATCAATAAGGTACTTGTCTATGTAAACTTTTTAAAAACAGGAAGTGGTAGCTGAAGGATGATCACAGCTATTCCAGGTTAAAGGCTGTGGCAAGCTCCACACATTCACTAATGTTGCAATCAGTTAAAGTGCTCTCTAGTTTACCAAAAAGGTACAATCACATAAGCTCTTTCTGGAAAACAGAGATAAAGTCTCACAGCAACATCTTGGCAGCTTCTATGATCTGGGAGTCCCCATAAATGCTAAGAAGAATAGAGGAGACGTGGCTAGCCAAGTTTCCATTAAACACTATAAATTTTGTAAGAAGCCAAATGCCCTTAAACTGACTCACAAACATTCAGAAGTTAACATGATTCAGATCCAGAAATATAGTAGGGGCAATAGTAAGCCTGATATTCAGTGCTTACTGACTTTCAAATTATTATTAAATAGAGTACCCTGTCTCTTCAACAAATGTGATACTTTGAAGACACTATAAACTTGAACACATTAAGAATTTCAAAATGAGGAGACAAAAAATTTTTTTCACATGATTTGACTCTTGAGCTTCCACCCTCTTTTTCAGAGTGAACTTATTATACCTGTGTTGCCACCTGTTTTCTCATGCTTGCAAAGGTACTCTCATGGCTTTTATTTATTTATTTATCTTAGTGATAAGTTATGCCAGCTACAGTCAAACTGCACTGTACGTCTTTGATCAGGGGATAAGTCCACTTTCCCTTCCCCCACATGCCCTGTTTCTGGGACGGCTCCCACTGAACTCTGAACTTGTTCTTGATCCTTGTATTTTCCTGTCTCTCCACATAGAATCTGCTGTTGGCTGCGCGCTCTATGGAGCTTTGTGTTTCTAGCTGCTCTTTGACAAAGTGCTTGTTCTGTGCTGCACATCTCGTCCTCTTTGTTCGGCCTCTGGCTTCAACCACTGAATCACAAATATCCTCCAGCTGGGAACCAGACAAGGGCAGAAATGAAGAACCCAGAAGCCCAACAGGATGTTTCAGTTTCCCAGGGAGTTCGCATGATGTTTTACATGATGAAGCCCAATGAAACTTCATTTCAAACTTTAGAAGAGGTGCCTGATTATGTACAAAAGGTGAGACTATATTGCAAGAGGCCATTGTTGCTCTTCTCTTAGTAAGAAGTAAGGTGGACATATTTTGGAGTTTTGTTCACTTTCATTCTTGAAATTTTTAAATTCTAATAAAAATAATTCAGTTTCTTAAAGGCTTGAGGAAAAATTAATTTTCGACTTGAATTGAATTTCCATACAATATCCCTAGACATCTTTGTCTATAAATTTCCTCCTTTATATGTCACTCCAAAATATGATAAAAATTTTAAAAGATTTTCTAAACACTATGGCATTGCAAATGTAGCTGTTGGAAGCTCAAAGTCAAATAGTTATACCACATCAGTAAACTTTGTAACAGTTTTATTTTAATATATTTAGCTTGCTCACCACCTCCAGGGAAACTGCTTTCTTTTTAATTTGGTAGAGTAGTTCTGCAGAATGAAGGATATGCAACTTGACTAAGTCCAATTCTGACTTCCTAAGTTTGAACTCGAACCAAGTTTTCTCTGAAACTCAGAAGTATTCAGAGGCACTTTTCACTTCTGGTTCCTGGCTATGATTGGAAGTGGAAATATCCAGAATTAGAACTTGAATACTGAAGTTCCCCACCCTGTCAAACTTGTTCCTACAACACTTACTAGTACAGGCCAGAAATAGAAAAATTATGACATCAGAGAATATGTTCTTGGGAGGTCAGCTTACGAAGCTTCAAAACTCATGATTAGCTTCCAAGTGAATAAACCCCATATCTTTTTCAGGATTTGGCATTGCTTTTTCTTTTGTGGTACAGTACCAGAAATACTGATATCGTCATAAATCATTATTATTTATGTTGCAACATCAAACATAATTCAATGCTCAGCCATCTATAGTGGAGCCTTAAAAATATTTATTATGATATAAAACAAAATTAAAACTGAAAGAGTAAAAGTTGAATGATGGTTTAAACATGTAAAATTACCTTATTTTCTCAAATTCTAAGAAGAAAATTTTCCCTACTATTTAAATTTCATCATTACAAGTAGTTCTAGAAATTTTAATGTAAAAAACTAGAATTGTACCCATTCTCAAGGAAAGCTTCTTGAAGTGTGTCTAGCTTACTCGCATGTAGATGATGGACTTCTAATTATTTAACTTAATTTTAAATCGATTTTGTGGATCTAATTATTTTATAATCTTTCTTCCTAGTAATAAGTTTATTGGCACAATTAGCATGGCTATATCTGTCATTATATTTCACTTTCAAATTGGGTGACAGAATTTGAGCACATATTTAGTGCATGTCCCAAATAAGTAGACTTCTTTGCCCATTATGTAGGAAGTGATCCTCTAGAATAAGTATATACCATTCCTGTTGGGCCTCCCAACACTGGGCCTCCCATTTCTGGAATGACTAACCAGGAAATGTGGAGCAATTTCATATGAAGCATAATAGCATCTCCTCTCTGCAATTTCTTTTCCAGGCAACTCCATTTTTCATTTCCTTGATGCTGCTTGAACTAGTTGTCAGCTGGATTTGCAAAGGGAAGCCACCAGGTCGTTTAGATGATGCTTTAACATCAATATCAGCTGGCGTTCTGTCTCGGCTTCCAAGGTAAGTTAGATGGTTAAGCTATGCTGGGTGAAAAAACTGAAATTCTCCAAATATGAGGGGTTACGGAATCCATTGTATGGTGAAACTAGTCTATTTACACATTATATCCCCAAAGAATTCAGCTTCTGTTATTATTTAAAATTTTTATATTTTTCATCATTAATTTGTTTTCATTCATTTTCACAAATCACCCTAAATAATATTTATCTTGATTACTGACTTTATTGAGACTCCTTTAAATTTTGCACCTGATATGAATGCTCCATTTGCCTTACTGAGGTCCTGCCATTTATTTATGGCCTAGTTATCTACTAGCAATTTTATTTTGCCTCAGCTAAATTCACATAGAATAGCTCTCTGGGGTTCAGACACTCTCCAGAGCAGGTCACACAAATCTCTGAATTACTACCGTGGTCGCCTAACTAGGGTCCTGTTTCTGATACTACCCCATTTACTTGCAGCCAAACATTTCCATAATATGAATCTGGCAGAAACCTTTCACTGGTTCCGTACTGCCCGGAGGATAAGATACAAACCCCTTTCCTGAACTACTGAGAACTTTGTCTCACTAGCCTTGCTTTTGGTCCCCCCCAGCCTCCTGACACTTTGTCATCTTTATTCCATCATGCTTTACTACTTGCCATCGTCCACACGCTCACCCTACTTCCCTCTGCCCGGAAATCCAGCCACGTGGCCAACTCAGATTCATTTCCTAGATCTCAGCACAGACGTCACACTCTTCAGCAAGCTTCATCTCTTCTCCAGTGCTATGTTAGGCACTATTTCACTACGGTCCCATGGCATCTTGTGCTTACCCCCCATCTAGAGCTGTCAGATAGCATGATGTGTTCCTCCCAGCCCTTATTGCTAGCTTGCATGCAACTTGAGAACAAGAGGTGAACTTCCCTTGTAGTTTTAGCTCCTATTCCTGAAATGATACCTGATACTTGGTAAATGTTCCAAAATATGAATATTCTTATAATATTATCTTGATGATAAAATTGGATTATGAAGTGATAAAATAATAGTAAACGATGAATGACCTACTGTGATTTTTTAGAAAAAGTACATTAGAATATGAGTAGAGAGCAACCGGTAAGTGGATGGCATCTTCAGGACATGAAGATTTACAAAGAGGCAGAGGGGGAGGGAAGATTCCCTTAGAAGTATGTGCTTTGAGCTACTGCTGAATGTTCTCATTCCAGTTTCCCACCCATCCCTCCTTATCCTGTTTTAAGAGCTTTACTTCTGACCAGTGCTCATTGCTTTGGAATGTTTCTATGAACCACCCAGTGGGAAACCAAGGTGGATTTTTTAAAAATGACAGTAAAACTGAAAGTATCTGAAAAAGGTGAAATAAATTCGTATAATTACACACAATAGTTTAGATAGAAAGTAAACCTAAAAGTAAATTTTTTTTCAAAGAAGGGTCCCTTGAAAAAAGGAAGGTAATAAAGAAAAAAGAAAAAGAAAGAAGAAAATAAAAAAGAAGAAGCCGAAAAAAAATAGGTCTTTTTTCTGACTACAATTCTTGCACATTGTAGTCAGAATCAGAGGAGGATAATGTCTCATGTTATTTGCAGCTAACTCCTTGATTATCCTAAATAAGAATTTAAAATTATAGATAATTTCCTCTATTATATATCCTCCTTGGACAGAAATAAATGAGAAATACATCCAATATACTCAAGGGACATATAGATTTGGATGTAGATTTAGTTATTGAAAAATAACAAATTTGTTACTGGAGCTCATTCTAAGACAGTTAAGTGCATAGGTTATAGAAATCAGATGGTTGATAAACTGTCAAAATCATTTGATAACTGGGAATTGTTCTGCATGTGCAATTATGGGTCATATATTTTACTGAGTTGGAATGAATTTATTAAGAAATCAGGAAGACAGAAAGCTGAATGAATTCTCCAGCATTTCTTTCACCTTTTCAAGTTTGACTTTGGTTACAGGCGCAATTAGATTGCTCTCTTATGATAACATTGTAGGTACTAGAAATACAAACGGCATCCTCAGCACAATATTTCTGCTAAGTAGTGTTATTTTAAAAAGGTACAGTTATAACAGGAAAACAAAAATCAAATATACATATTTACAAAAAAAACACATTCAAAAAAGGAGAGAAAGAGAGAACGAGTGAGAGAGAGGAGAGAGAGAGAGAGAGAGAGAGAGAGAGAGAGAGAGAGAGAGAGAGAAGGGAAAGAAAGAAACCAAAACAAACCAGACCTTCAGGAATAGAACATGCAGTTCTTTTCCTTCACCCACTACTCATAACACTCCTTAAGCTAACACAAACTGTTAACTCTGGTGCCCTTTGAGAGAAAGGTAAAAGGTTATGAACTTGAATTTGGAGAATATTTTTCTATAGTTACTTTGAATGAGTACAGCAAATTGCTACTCTTTTTTCCTTGTAAGGGTGAAAAGCAATTCTAAATTATGAAATGTGGATTATTTTAAAGATTTTCAAGAAATTTCATAGCCTAGCCTTTGTCTGAAAAATCCCAGCAAAGCATACTATGTAAAAATCAAATTTAAAAAATTTATTTTGTTGCTATTAAAAAAAAACACCTCCCAAAATAAAACAAAATAAAAGCCCAGGCATAAACAGAAAAAGAAAGCTGACCCTCAGGATCCACTCCACTCAGTCCCCTTTCAGCAAAAAATGAGAAGAGGAATTTGACATCAACCCTTAAAACAATATTTCAGTTGAAGCCACAGCATCAAGGGGAATCCCTGTGCAAATCATTAACAGCTGAGGGTTAGATTAACACGGCATTGATCGTATCCTCTCCCAGGGACTAATTTCATTTTCTACACTAACAACAGGGGCTTGCCACATCCTTAAAATAGGTGATTGCAAGAAAAATGGTAGTATACCTTTTGCTAATCCATTTGTGAAGAATTATGCTTTGGATAATAATTCCAAATAGGCATGTGGTCTCTGACAAAAGAAGTTGTGGAAATCAAAGTGAACATGTTTTTCCACTTCGCTGTTCATGTAATGGAAATGTTGTAGGCAGACTGTGAGGAAAAACAATGCTTCTTTGAGGATCTCAATCTCACAATTACATAAAATTTGAAGTATCTTAAAGATGAATAGCATACTTACAATATTGATAGAAAAGATACATGCTGTATCTCTCAAATCTTTATGTAAGGGAAATATTAATCATGGACAAGATTATATCTTGTTTACAAGCCTGTTGGACAGACCATGATCTGTAATAAAAGTCCATCTGTCCTAAGAACCAGATTCTGGGCAGGACTGCATCTGTTTTGCTCTTCCGAAATCCAGTAAGCAGCTTTCCTAGTCAGAAATGAGTCTTGAAGTTATAAACAGATATGTCTATGTATCATAAACACAGTGTATCATATGCATATAATCTGCCTTTCTATTGATTACTTACATATGTGACCATAAAAATAAACTTGATTTAACAATATATTTACTAAATCCATTTTTTAAGAAAACCTATCTAAAACTTGTGAAATAATCTCACTACCGATGTAAATGTTAACGAGTGAAAAATAATCACATTTTTTTTTCTTGCTTGTTTAAGCAGAACTCAATTTCCAATCCTTCATTAGAAAACCGGGACCTCAATTTGTTACTTCCTTCCAATGTTTCTGCTTCCATAAATTGCATCCTCCCCTGAGAAGTTTCATTCCCGATATAAATATCTACAGTATGTTTGTTTTTAATGGGTTCATTTATTCTGTTGAAACAGCATATTATAAATCAAGTTGCAATAGGTTGGAGGGATAATTTAAGTAGGTAAATTTTCAAATAAAGTTGAGGACACTCCACGTTTAATACGTATGGGTTACTGCCAATTTTACTATGGAGCTAGCTCCACAATATTCAACCATACACATGCACACTTTTACTGGCCAGGCCTGCCAGGGAATTTTCCATTCCTAACAAGAAAGTTTCAATTCATCAAAAAATAAAAAAATTTAAAGAGGAGGAAATTAAACTTCTTTGAAATACTTTTGACTCCGTGGGGTGGAGATGGAGAATAAAAGAAAATTGTGTACTCGGCTTTTATACTAGACTTTAGCATGAGAGGCAATCCTGCCTTTGGCAACATCAGACTTCTGAAAAATGAGTGCATATCATTATGGATGATGATTTTAATAAGCAGTAATTCATTATGTAAAATAAGAAATAAATGAATCTGTGTAATATTGTTAATAATACATTGTTATTAATACTGGATGTTTTATTAACTTAGAAAATAATTTTAAAAACTCCTCATGTAAGAAAAATACCTTTTAAAAACCTGTTGGGTTTTTTAATTATATTTGAGGGAGAATGCCTCATTTCCTCTTAATGTTTGCCCTAGAAACCTTATAAATAGACTTTGTCTATGTTATTAATTGTGTAGCTTCAGAAACTGCTATTATACTAACCTTGCCTAGTGAATGCAGGGTTCATTGGTTATTGGCCTAGATTGTGTGCCTATTCAATAGAGTAATACATTTTTCTTCAAAGTAAAGAATGTAACAAATTTATTTCTTTCAAATTGTCTTTATAAAAGTTTATAGTATTATGGTTGTAAAAAGGAATTAACTTATGTGATTGCTTTCTGAATGCAATGCCATTTCATAGTGAGAATTAGCAGTATAAATTGCATCTGTTGGGAGAAGGTACAAGTTGCATTATCTATTTTATTACTGAGCAAAAATCAATATTCCACTAGATGGAGCAAAAGTGGCAGTAGCTTTACAGGCAGGCAGTGCAAACTCCTGGGTCAGGTTTAAGAGATTTTGAAATAAATAAATAACAAGACTTCTCAGAAAAGTGTGTGTGTGTGTGTGTGTGTGTGTGTGTATATATATATATATATATATATTCCAATATATTTATTTAGTTATAACTTCCTGGCATTTTAAAGGATATTTATAATAACCTCATTTAAATATTGATTTATTTTCCAGCTCATAAAACAGGACTATTAGAAATAGAAACATTGAACTTTCTTCTTCGGTTTTGCATAATCTGGCCAAATCAGATGATATAGACAGCTATAATGACAGTAATGTTATAATATAAATTGGCAGATTCCTGTGAATATGGGTAAATAAGTCTACTTACTCTGAAAGTTGCTTTGAAATTTTAGCAGTTTTCAACGAGAGCATTACATAAAATTTTACTTCCGTTCTTAATGATAAGAGCATGAAAGTAGATAATTTTAGTGTCCATTCAGCTTAATGCTCTCATATCTTAAATTAGCCCTGAGATACTGAAAGGCTAAGTCTTGGTGTGGTGATGGGAAGAGGCAGGCTGAGATGACTTTGAAAACTAATCAGCTTATAATTCTAAATCCCCAGATAATAAATATTTACTTCTAATTTATTGATTTTTAAGAAATCTGAACATTATATCTAAACTTTACTGTTTAAAAAACAGTCAGTGCCGAGTCAGTACTGAATAACAATATAGTACTTTACCAGTTTTTTTACAGTAACTGGATATTGAGTGGACAAGTTCCTAGCGATGAGAAAAAATGTTATACGCAACACGTAAAGAATCATTTCACTAGTTGGAGAAATAAGTTACTTTTCATTTGCCAAAAGATATACATCAAACTCGAGAGAAAAAATGCTATTTGGGGGAATTTATAAAGAAAATGGGACAATGAGAGGAAAGTCTCTCTGTATACAGGTTGCTAATTAGAGGATTCTAATGTCTCTTTATATTTAGGTCATGTTCTTGGTCTCTCATTCAAACTAAATGTGTAAGCCGGGATCCTCAAACTTTTTAAACAGGGGGCCAGTTCACCGGCCCTCAGAGTGTTGGAGGGCCGTTGGACAGTGCGGCGCACATTCCACGCATGCGCACTGTGGGCCAGGGATGAGTCTGCTGCTAAGCAGGACAGGCAGCACCGGCAAAACCACCAAATGTACTCGGTGGGCCGCATGTGGCCCGAGGGCCGTAGTTTGAGGACCCCTGCGTAAAAAGGATCTGGTATTTGGTAATTCCAAGGCCCTGTGCTACACAATATTCCATCTCCACCTGATAAAGCAAGCTCACTCTGTACATACCTAATATATATGCCTCTTCCCCCAGGATGGGGTTTAGAGAGTTTAAGTTTGAATTCCAGAGTGCAGAGTCATGTGCTGGGAGTGTGGGGTGCAAGGGGGCCAGCCGATCGGGAAGAGAAAGAGGAAGGAGTTTGGGTTTATGATTCAAGGTCTGGTGGGAACATTTTTGAAAAGGTAGGTGCTATTTCCTGTAATCAAGGGCTTTCCAGAGGTCGATAATCATTTTCCAGCTGTATTTCTCTGGCGAATTGTTTTTAGTTGTGGGCACTCCATGGCTGTTCTTTCACATGTATAATGGAAGAAGATCACATTCATCTTGCTGATAGAAAGCAGGGAATATAACTCCCACAGCTTCTCCCCTCTTTCCCTTTGCATTGAGCAAAATTCGGCTTCATGCTAACGTGTGAAAAAAAACAAAAGCCTTGACTGTAGTATGGCAGGTATATTTCGGCTCTATTTGTGTCAACCCTAATACGTCAGTTGACCGAGTAATGAATTGGGTGTCTGCTCAAGACCTGGCACCTGTACAGGAAATAAAAAAGTATTTCAATTGCAGTCAGTTTCTTTTTGTCTTACAAATGGAAGTTTTTCAGGGACTCTCTTTCTTTTACTGAGGTCTTAGTATCTTAATGCCTATTTCTATTGTTACCAGAACTGACAAGGAAGACAGCAAATTTTTAAAAAAGATGTTAAACTGACAGAATATTTATGAAGCAAGTGATGATGTTTGCCCTGTTCAACAGTGTGCCCCTGTGTCTTGCACTATGCCTGGTACCTAGTAGGCTTTTGATATAAATTAGTTGAATGATTTATTGAATCCATGGATGGATCTGTGTTGATACCATGTACTAAAGCTTACTTAACAAGGTGTAGATTATTTCAACTTTCTGTTAAGTTTTCTGTTTTAATTTTTATTTTTGGATCAGTTGTTTCAAGGCAGTAGTTATCCATGGGGGACAATTTTGCTTACCAGGAAACACTTGGCAATGTTTGGGGACATTTTTGGTTGTCATTATGGGAATGGGAAGGAGTGCTATTGAATCCAGTAGCTAGAGAACAAGGATGCTGCTGTACACTCTAGAATGCGTGGGAAAAGTCCTCCCAACAAAGAATTACGTGGCCCCAGTGACAATAGTGTTAAGGTTAAGAATCGCTGTTTTAGAAAAATTATTAGGTTGAACCATATGAAATCGATAATATTCACCATTTTTTAACCTAAAATTTGATTTTTATATGAGTAACCCCCTCCTAATGGATCATAGAAAGAAATTTTAGGATTTCATAGATTGAATAAATGTTTGCACAGAACAGCTCTTTACACCAAAGAATTATCCATCCAAATGTCAATACTGGCACTGTTGAGAAGCCCTAGTCTAAACAAATAAAAGTCACCAACACAGCGAACAAGCTTTATAATAATTTTTTTTTCTAACCTTCTGCTAATATACCTTGATAAAAACTTGGAAGGCAGGTTTTAAATTTCCAGTTCCTAGCTTTCTTAGAGTTTCCAAAACACTGTGGAAACCCCTGGCTCATGGCCTGTTCTGCTGAGTGAGCAACCTCATACCATGTGTGGAGACATCCCAGACTGCTTGTCCCGGCTCTGCTTACATGTCCAAAATCAGCCGCACTCGGCCACCGTGTCAGGCCTAGTAGTTTGCTTGCCTGCAGAGGTCTGCCCTCAGGAGCATTAGCCCAGCACAGAGGCCCATGCAACCCCTGCAAGCAAGGCTCAGGGCTGCGTAGGCAGGGGATTCTGGAATGTCCAGTGTGGCTCAGGGTGGGATTGTGGTAAGGGTCCAGGATGAGTAATGACTTGGGTCAAGGACTTGAACTGAGGGGGAAAAACTGCTTCTTCAAACCATGTAATCTCAAATTGGTAATTGAGTTTTAAGAAAGGGTAATGTATAATCTTGCTTAAAACTATAAGCATTTGGCATTTCTATGAGTTTATGAGTATCAACACTGTTATGAAATAGCCTAATGTTTTACTCTACAGATTAAATAAAAGTAACTCAAAACATTTAAAGTACAAAAGGTTATTTCGAAGTTATTAAATCATAATTAAAGTCATATGATAATTAAATTCAAGAATAAACTTAAAGGTCCAGATCCTTATGAGACCCAGTAACATGCTCATTCATAGACACTGACTCTATAAAGAGAAATACCATTAAAATAATCAATTTTAATAATATAATAATCTGAGCTGCTTATTAAACTTTTAAAATTATTTTTTATTTCTATATTGAGTTTTGAGACAAAGTGTCACTCTCTCACTCAGGCTAGAGTATAGTGGAAAGATCATAGCTTACTGCAGCCTCCAACTCCTGGGCTCAGGAAATCCTTTTGTCTCAGCCTCCGGAAGTAGCTAGGACTATGGGCGCTTGACACCATGCCTGGCTAATTTTTTAAAAATTTATATTACAGAAATGAGGTCTCACTATGTTGCCCAGGCTGGCATCAAACTCCTGGCCTCAAGCGATCCTCCCAAATCACTGGAATTATAGGAGTGAGCTACTGTATCTGAATTTTTAACTTTTATTGAAATTAGAATATTTAAGAATTTCCTTGGAATTTGGGGCACCAAACATGTTGGTGGCTTATTAATAAATGTTTATTAGGTAGAATGATTAATTCATTTTATATTTAATAATAACTATAGTGAAAAATATAATCAAATATATAAATGTGATAAAACAAATGATTATCTTGAATCTATTCTTAAATTTGGTCACAGAAAGCTTAAAAATACACTTTAGAAAGTTCAAGTGTATTATGTATTTTTTGAACATCATTGAAATAAGAATTTGTAGCAGCTTGATAGAATAGATAGAAAGACATGGTCTAGTATCTAGATTTTAAAAACAACTGTTTATTTTAACTAGGTTTGTAAACCTCATTTCTAGGGAAAGATTTTTTCCTAACATCTTAAAAGCTCTAGCTTATAACGTTTCTATAAGAAAAGTTGAAATGTTATGAGAATCTGATATGTGATCATAAGTACACCTAAAACTTATTAAAGATGTGTGTATGTGTGTGGAAGGGAAATGCAAAAAAAGAGAGAGAACAGAAGAAGAAAGGGAACAGAATTAGAAGCAACCTTAATCTAAAGACAAATTTTACGGTATTAGCATATTTGAAGGCAATAGGCAATTTGCTGTTCCCTTTAAAATATGCCATTTATAATTTTCTACATTTTATACTTCCTTCACAAAGCATCCTTAATGTATTCTTCATTAAAATTTGAAAATGACAATCACAGAAAATAAGTTGTAATTTTGTCATATTTGTGTTGTATGGTTCCATAAAAAGTATTTTAAGAGACATAAAAAAAAAAGGAATGGCTTTGTAAATCCCATGAAATTGAGAGTGCAAACAGCTGGCATCCATGATTCCTGTGAAACAAAAGGAAACACCATGTGAATCATTTTGATACCAAAGAAGTTAAGCCTTTAGAAAGAATATTGGAGGATGAAGAAACAAAGTAACAGGGAAAGAGTTTTATTTTTCATATGAATATATTCATCTCAAAGTGTTATCTGAAATGTGTAACATAACTTTACATTTAAAATATGGTATAATTATTGGGTTTGAATTTTATTTCCCAGTCTGTTTTTTAGGAGCATTGAACTGACCACTTACATTTATATCTGGGAGAACTACAGGCTTTTCAATTTGCCTTGGGATTCTCCATGGACTTGGTATTTGACCTTCTTAGGAGTTGACTTTGGCTACTACTGGTTCCATCGCATGGCCCACGGTAAGTAGCAAAAGAAGATTTTTTGTTAATTGAATTGTATTTGCTACATAGTAGATCCTTAGTAAATATTTACGGAATGCATAAGCAAACGAATAAAATAGTGTATTTTGCCAGATATAAAGATTAATAATGAAAGTTTATTTTGAAACTTAAGCAGAGACCATGTGAAACCATTTTTCAAAAACGATGTGACGTTATTGGAGGTACATTTTTCTCACCTTTTATTTCTAATTAAAAACATGTTTAGAAATTGATGCTTTTGGGGATTCTTGACTGCACCTTCCAAAGAAACATTTTGGTATAGAAAGGGAAATGGAAGTGCAGGGTACAAGTGTGGGTCTGAACCTCTGCAAGGATAAGCAGGGGTTGAAGAATAGTTGTAGAGCTAAGGTAAGCAAGTAGTCTCTGAGGAGAAATAAAGTATGCCAAAGTATTTCTGAAGGGAAGTGGAGTAAAGCACTAACTTTGAAAAACTACTGAAGAGCAGAACTCAGGATTTCAGTGGGTGGTTGACTTGAGTGGGTGGGGAGGAAGGAAGGAAGAGGAAGAAACCTGGAATAATAATAAAAAATAGATGGCGGATGGAGAGAAGAGACCTGAGATCAGGCTGAATAACTGAGCTATGTGTGTAGGAGGACTTGGGACCAAATATCCTTCCCAAGCAAGGATGAAGGAAATAGGAGTAGCATGGACAAGCGTTATACTTAAGGCTGCTCAACTTTAGATATAACATTATTTTTGTTAAGCACCTCAAACATATGCATTTAATGAACCTATAAGGAGTGATAATTTATTAAAACAATTTCAAGTGAATATATAAACTAGAAAAAGTTATTTATTTTGTATGTGATAACCTTTGTCTTTGAACATAATAAATCAGATCCTGACATCATTTCCTTGTATATAAATACAAGAGGATACTCCTAAATTAAACATGATTAAGAATAAAATATGGTCTATGTAGTAAAATATTTGTATTATATTTCAAAGTCATAATTTTCTCCCTAAAATAAACTCATTGGCAACGTTTCTCATTTTCTGTGCAACAAAAGAGTACTGCAGAAATCATTTACATTGTACTGTATTACTTACTTTCAGGAACCTTCTAATAGCACACTGTCCAGTACAGATGGGTTTGTTTGGGAAATCTGCAAATTTGCTTAATCTTTGAAAGCCCATTATAGCAGGAAACAAAGGACCAACAAAATATTCCTAAATATAAAACTTAAAAATATGTTGATTGTAAGTGCTCTCAGTTAGGGAAGAGCAATAAAATAAAATAACATATTAAAAATGTGGAATCAAGGCTATTTAAAGTATGCTTCCCATTAGAAAAAATTGAACTGAATCCAATGAAAGAGGCAGGCATTAAAAAAATTTGAAAACCTTCTGGAAAAACACTCACAACCTTCAGGCTATGGAGCCTAATCATAAGTTCAAAGACTTTTGACTTGTAATGAAAAGCTAGTAGAAAAAAAATAATGTAGTGAAATGTGTCAACTTTCAATATGATAGCTAATTTTTAAATTTTACATGTAAATATTGTAAAATATTAAAAATAGGTTTTTAGATAATTAAATACATAGGGGTAAGAAAAACTTATAATATCAAATTTCTTGAACCTCTTGGATTACACAGCCCAAACTGGATAACTGGCCAAATTTATTTAACTGAAAAATTTCAATAATTCCAAAATCCAAATGTTATCTTAAAATATAGTAAGGAAAAACCCCTGCTTTTTCTCCTTAAAGTGTTACTTTCCTTTTGCTACTCTCAATACAATGATATAACAAAAACATATTCTAAGCCAGGCGCGGTGGCTCACGCCTATAATCCTAGCACTCTGGGAGGCTGAGGTGGGCAGATTGCTCGAGGTTAGGAGTTCGAAACCAGCCTGAGCAAGAGCAAGACCCCGTCTCTACTATAAATAGAAAGAAATTAATTGGCCAACTAATATATATATATATATATATATATAAAATTAGCTGGGCATGGTGGCGCGTGCCTGTAGTCCCAGCTACTGGGGAGGCTGAGACAGGAGGATTACTTGAGCCCAGGAGTTTGAGGTTGCTGTGAGCTAGGCTGACATCACAGCATTCACTATAGCCTGGGCAACAAAGCGAGACTCTGTCTCAAAAAAAAAACAAAACAAAACATATTCTACATTTGTTAATAGGTTAAACGCTATGACTTTTAAAACAATATATTATCTATTTGAAATTTTGTTTTTACATGTACTTAAATTACTTCTTTTAATACAAATCATTGCTAGGATTGTTGTTTTTGTTACTGTTGTCACCGTTGTTATCGGTTTGTATTGCATACATACAGTATTTTGTCACATTTGGAAAATATTTCATATTAGTGGAAAACAGTTTATACTCAAAAATTTGAACTCCATTTCTATCACTATGTAATAAATCAGAGGGATATTTAAGTTATATATTGATATATATTCTTTCCATTTCATTTCATTTCCTCTGGAATGAGAAATAAATTGCTAATCTTGTCAACTTAACAAAAACAAGGGTAGCACAACAATTTCTGTAGAGGGCTTTGACAACATTATAAAGAAATATCTCAAATAGTGACAGTGTTCACCATGGATTGGGGCCGGGGGGCGGGGGGAGACCCACATTTTAGGGATGTGGCGAGCATTGTGGGGAAGATGGGATTACCTCTAACCCTTTTTAGGGAGAGGCAAAGATATACAATGTAAGCAAAATGTTAAAACAACAAGAACAACAAAAAAAAACTTGTATCAGGTGGTGGGCCGGTGGGAGGAGGGAGGAGGGGAAGGGTGTGTACTTACTTGGTGGGTGTGGTCCGCACCACCTGGGGGTTGGACATGCTTGAAGTTCCAGCAGGGCGAGGTGGGAGAGGGGTGGCAGGGGGCAATGTATGTGACCCTAACAATATTTGTACCCCATAATATGAGGAAATAAAAGGGGGGGAAGAAAGAAATATAGAATGATAAAATTAAGTAGCTCTTCCACTAAAATTAGCCTCTTGCATGCTTTTCCTCCATTACAAAATGGTGCATTGCTTTCCTTTGTACTTTCTATTAGTCATACAGAACATTTAAGAAAACAAGTAAAAAAACTTTTTTTAAGGAAACATTTAAGAAATGAATAGTTACAGCTTGGGAAGTGCACAAATGAGGCTTTCTGAGTGCTGATAATACTCTGTATCTTGTCTTGCGTGGTGTTTACATGAGTGTTTTTATTTGTAAAAAATTCCTTGAGTTGTACACTTAAAATTTACATACTTTATCTATAGATACTTTCATAAAAAGTTAAATTGATAAACAATGCCAGCAATGTGATTTCTTAGTGAATAGTTCTAAGACAGAATGATATAGTAGGTAACCAAATTTAGAAGTAGGAACCACGATCTGTGACTGTAAAGCATAAACATGTGACCTTAAATAGTTTTACCTGTATTAGTTTCCACAAGCAAGTATGGAAAGGGCCAGGATGCCAGTTGTTGATATATAGCCTCTCTCTTCCAAATCTATTCTTCTTTGCCTTTCCTGTGTTATCAGAGTTACACCCTGTAGACATTTCTCTTTTGCCAGTTGACCTGATGTTAAGTTTTGCCAAATTAAGGGTCTAGAGGGACACTGTGAAGCTAGAACATGAGAAAGAGACTTTGCTTCCATTTTTCAGAGTGCTATTTTCTATCTAGCACTTAGCAGATTGGTACCTGAAGGACTTAGTACTGGTCACCTCCTGGTTGAGCTGTAGCCTACACCTTCTGGTGGGATTCTCTGTCATTCAGGGGGCCATACCAAAAAACTAGCTGCAGCCTACGCTCACTGGGGCCCATATACTCTAGCAAGCCTATCTGTCACCAGCAGAATTCCAGTGGTAGCAGCAACCTCTCCAGAAATATCTGAGTCTTAGACTTGCTTGTGGTGTATATGTGAGTATGTGTGCCAGGCTCTTCTAAATTTATAAGTACCTACCTTGTTCTCTCTCCCTCAGTTCTATAGGCAGTAACTGCATTCTGCTGTTGCTACTTCTGTACTGCTAACCTTCTACTCCATTAATTTTTTTAGTAGTGAGCTTCCTTTATATTAATTTTTCCTTATTGAAATTACTAGTGTAGTTTCTGTCTCCCATTTGGATCCTGAGTGATACAGGCAGCCTCTCCAGATATTATATCAGATAATAAATTAGAGTTTACCCAATTTTCCTTTTACTACTTCCTTTGAAGCATTGATCATGCATTTATGATACAATAACGATTTCATTCAGTCCTGAAATAGGGACCTTCATTTAAAATTGTTATAACAAGCTATCTATAATCTCCCCCCAAACTCCAATTCTTTTACACACAGTAAACTGCTTGATTCATTTCTTATTCATCTCTTTCTGAATCTAGAAACAGTGATCACAATTTTTGTGAAATTAATTATAAGCATTTATTCCCTCAACTTCATTGTAACTAAGTGAGCTTCTTTATATGACTTAAATTTCAAGGTATTCATTTCTTTCTGACTTTTAATAGGATTTAAACTTAGATCATCCTTATGTGCATCATTGTTTAAACAAAGAAATTAAACAGCTGTACTGATTAGAAATTATTTTAACTTGCGATGATGCCAGGATTGTGGTCCACACTGAAGAATAGATTACTAACATTCTGCTACTCTTGTGTGTCTTTTCTAAAAGATATCAGAATCTACGTAAGATTTTTGTAACTCTTTGCTATATATTATGACTCATTCTTTATTTTAAAAATACATCTTGATTGTATCCTTATTGGATCACCAAGGGTAAAGTCCATTGCGTTTGTCTGAGTTATTGCCATTCTTCATGCCTTCCCCCATGATCCCTGAATTCTGATATTTCCAATCTCTGAATATGTTGAAGTGGTGTGGACAAAATCAAATGGGATTCTGCTTAAAATTTATATTTCTGAAATAATGATGCTAGTAATAGTGTTAATAGTAAAACAAACAATTAATAGATAAGTATCATTGAAACCTATTGGAG